CTGCAACATACTGGAAAAATCCAACACAACATTGAAGAATATCAGTTGGATTGACCCAACAAACCAATATCCAGAGGCAATGGATCCTGCTCATCATTCGCCGCCTTTCATTTTCTCTCTCGCGTTTGCTGGTAGTCACTTTGTGATCCTCCGTCGCTTTTCTTCTTCCTTTGCTTGCAACATGGGGTCTTGTCCTTTGGGTGCTTCTTTGTGCTGTGGTTTTGGTTCTTTGGGTGTTGGTTGCTTGCGGATTCTTCAATTTGGGTGTCGGGGGGCGATTGTCTCGGTTTTGGAGACGATGTGGCTGCCAGCTTTACGAATGGCTCGGATGAACTCTCCCTCGTCCACAACATTTGGATGCATCAGCTTGGACAAGAGTTTGACTTCTCTCAGAGCTGTTATGGCTGGCAATGCCTTCCTCGCTGTTTGGTTAATGCGGTGGATTGATGAGTTAGTTTCAGGGCCCAAAGTCAGCCCGTTTGTTTGTGGGTTGATTAATTAATAAAGACATATCCAAAGGTACACTGACCGATCTTGCTTGCCGAGGAAAACTCATAAACTTCCCTTGTCACAGACCGACAGCAGCGAGCGAAAGCGTTTGTGGCTGGTACCGGTATGGAATGGGTTGGGCTTGTTCTGAAGTGGAGAAGAGGATGAAGAAATCCTTCCATGCATCGATCAACTTTGGATTGGCCGAACGATTTCGACAGCTATTTTGACATGCCGCCGATTGAATCGTCGAACGTATGTCTCGTGACTCTTGCTTGACGCAAGCTCGTGGAGACCTGCCAACTTCTCCTCCAGCCTAGCTATGATAGCTCGTAGCACAGTCAGCACCCAAGCATCCCATCCCGGTACTCGTAAGCGACCCGCTCCATATTGCTCGGTCGGATAGTAACTGAATGTGCACAAGTAAGTGTAGTGGGAGGATGATATTGCATGGCTGGTGAGAGGAAGACCATCAGTTACGAGTGCTTGCTTGGTTCTCAAATAGCTTCTCTAAGCTTTGAGAGCACGAACCGATCCTGGCTCCGGCTGGACGTGGCGGTATTCGAAGCCAATCGATGGCCAAGACACACTGTTGTTTGAATCCATTTCCTGGAATCCTTTTAAAAGAAAGATGCTGTTGGCTTTGTTACAATTGTTGTGTTCGATGTAGCCCCTAGCTAGCTAGCTAGCTAGAGGAATCCAAGTGGAATGTTGTGTTTGGTAAAGCGAGCTGGCTAGCATCTTCAGGTATCTTTTTTCGGATGCTGCGATGTTCATGTCTAACTCAACTCTTGCAGAGCTTGACGAATTGCTTCCATCTTTTCATGGTCGACCTCGTACTGAATGTCATCTTCCGCACTGGCCCCCATGGGTATGTTATTGAATTCTTGTCTGCTGAGGACTTTTCTCCGTGCCGTAAAGTGGACGGCTTGTACATTGGTAGTTTTGACTAGCAGTTTCACATTGTCAGGACGGACACCACAACCTGCCATAATGGCAATGCGACCCTCGGCAAGGTTGGTCAGCTTCTTCAGGGTTGCCGTGCCTTGCTCCACTGAGGGTGCCAATCCAGACGTCAAGATTCGTTTGGCGCCCGTTTGAATGACAGCTTCCAGCATTGCTTCCATAGAAGTTGGATTATTGGTCCTGTCAAAGGCTCTATGAAATGTGACGGGAAGAGGATGTGCCAATTGTACCAACGACTTGGTGACGGGTACATCAATACATGTAGTAGCGCCTTCTGTGAGACACCCCAGAACAACCCCGTCTGCTCCTAGCTGTCGTGCCATTTGAATATCTCGTTTCATGACACTCAATTCGTCTTGAGAATAGACAAAGTTTCCCCCACGAGGACGAATCATCACGTACAATTCTGTTGTTCTGGTCGTTGCCAGCGCCTCGTGGACCATGGCAATCATTCCTGCCGACGGTGTCGTCCCTCCTTCGTTCAGATTCGCACACAATTCCACCCGGGTAGCTCCATACCGGCTAGCAGCTTTTGCACCCTCCACCGAGTCGATGCAGACTTCTAGTTCTGTCATGTCATGTCATGTCATGGACTTTTCTTTGCTGCTAAGCTCTATAGCTATATCAGGAAAGACAGAGTTGTGCGTGGTTTGCTGGGGGTAAATAAATGAGGTGCGACGATATCGATTCGATTCAATCTTCCTAAGGGTTGGGGTTTTGGATCTTTGGAGCCTTTGGATCTTTTGGATCTTTGGATCTTTCATTCGTGCATAGTATCTTTTCAACTGTCGGTCAGGTATCTCGCACCACTTTGCCTTGGACTGTTCATCTGAATGATTTGTTGATCGGCCTTGGCATAGATTAGCCATCTCAGAAAGCGGCAACTGTTGTTTGGAGGCATCAAAAAGAGCAGTTTTGGTTCTGGCTAGCTACCGAGCTAGTAGGTGCGCTAGCTAGGTGCGAGAAGAAATGCAATGAAGATGGTGCACGCTGCAAACCACTTACTTTTCTTCCTTGGGTGCTTGACCTCTGTTCGTCTGAATGCTCAGTCCCTTCTGCCTTGGCATGGATAGGTGTTCCCATCCGCAAAGTGTACAGTCGTGTACTGTTGTTTGGAGGCCTTTTGAAACTGGCTAGCAAGCCAGTAGATGCGACAAGAAATGCGACGCAAACAGGCAAACAGTCTTACGTGCAGCCAAGCCACGAACGTGCTTCTCAATGAGCCACAGCTCACGATGGCTTTGCACGTTGCCCCGTTATACAAGCCCTCATTTTGAGTTAGGGCGTCGCTCGAAGCCAACATAATATGAACAGCTGGAGAGGAACTGCTGACGCCTTTGCATGTCGCGGCAAGAGGAACCAAAGGATCATCGAGAGGATATATAGAAATGCAACCCGTTGCGTCGATGCTGCGGTGTATATGGCAGATGCCGATATCAGACGGCAAGTGGCAAGACTGCTTTAAGGTTGTGTCCGCTCAGATGGTTGCATTGCGCCTTGCCTGTGGAGCCAAGATTTTTTAAAAACGGAGTTGAGTGGGTCACAACATTGCCGAGGAATGAACCTCGTGGTATCAAACACCCTTAACACTCTGACCGGTCCTCATAGCCAATCTAGCAACAAGGGTTGGAAGTCGAAGAGCAAGAGACTGTATCGCAGGCTGGCATGGCGACAAGGAGTGTATGGAAACGATTCGATTCATCATTGCAGCGTTCCTGTAGAAGCCTCGACGCTGGCGTGCGTTGCTTAACGAATAAACAAGCACTTGCGTAAGACACTGCTGCTACACTCTGGCAGGCACATCCCTCCAACGTCTTTCTCCGGTAGTCGTCGTGTCTCCGGCGGAAGTAGAGGAGGACCTGGGTGCTAGAGGACCTGGGTGCTTTGATGGCTTGGCTTCGATTGTGATTCATTCATTCATCCATCAAAATCCTTGATAAAGTTCAGGCTGGAAGGGTGGATGGACTAGAGCTGATTGGGCGAGATTGCTGTGGAAAGCCCCTGCTTTGGCGACAACGAAGCAAGAGTTGAACGCCTTGCGCCTTACTCTATTCTCAAGGCCTGCAACAAGATTCACGTTTTGGCAATCGTGGGCACCTGTCGTCTTCACGAGCTGGATGTTGATCATTGAGACGATGACTTGCATGTACGCTGTTCAATGACGACCTGCACAGAATCAAATAAGTCCCTGTGACGTTTTGAGAAGTTGAAGCTTTGGGTGTGAGCAGTTGTGTCTGACCAATCATTTATTTGTGTTTTATCAGAAGGAAATGCAAACATGCAGAAGCAAGGAGGTTTCTTCGTGATCAATCCTACCACAATATCATTCGCCATTGGGAGTGAAAAGGCTTAGATCTGATTGCACGTACTAGTACGGATGTCATACACGTATCTTCATTTTAAAATTTTACTCCTGATCGGTATAGAATGTGTGATCTTTTCAGCGCCTGGAAGACTGTGGGATCCTCGAGCTATCCCACAGATCTTCTCAGGCCAGAGCAACCACAACACTTGTGTCGTTCATTTAACTTTCATCAAATAATCCCAAAGCACTTCAATTGAGGTGTACCAGTATTGTATTCTCTTGCTCTGGTGATTTTTTGTGAGAGACGATGAGTTACGTGTACCACCGGTCTGTGAAGAGATGGTTCTTTCTTTTGATTGGGGTGGCCGTGCCTTTTCAATGGGTGATCATGAAGCAAGCTTTGGACACGGTCAAGCCGCTCGTACTCGATTCTATTCATGCAGCCGATGCCGCTCCCTCCAGAACTGCTAATGGTCAAAGAGACAATCTCGAGTCGCTGAAGCAGCAAATGAAGCCTTCTCGGGGATTCGCAAGAGTCCCTCAGGCGCCGGTATCGGTGTCACGTACAGAACTCAAATTGTCTGCTGAAACCGATGTTCCGCAACCGGAAAGAAGCATTACTATTAATAAAAGTCGCCAAAGCCCACGAAAGCCCACAATAGCAACGCCTCCTACCACTGATACCGGTAGAGGCAGTGGACTAACCAAGGCAAACGAAATCAAGGGCATTCCAGCTCCATCTATTCATCAGGAACTGGAGAGAGCCACCAATGCTGCCAACAGTGGAGTCATCCCAACCATTAAGACACATGTTCCGTCTGCGCCTCAGATCGTTCCATCATCGTCCACAACCAAGTTTAGCTCCTTTCATTGGCAAGATCCAAATCGGTTTCGGTTTTACAAGCCTGACTTGATCTGTGTGGGGTGCTATCAGCATGCATTCCCGTCAGAGGTCCAGATCAGGGACAATAACGGGACCGTCACAACTGCCATGCGAAATATTACATGTGGCGAGCTTATTTGGAATGAAACACAACAAATCATTAGCACAAGCATCAGATTGAATGCAACGATTCAAGCGGCCTCTGAAATTGCTTCCAAGTATCCAGATCATTGCCAACAGTGTGATCCCGCGAGCTGTTCCGCAGAGCACAAAATCTATATACGGGTCGATGATGCAGCACCAACAATTCTCCAATCTTGGACTCGTCCCATTTCCAAACTCCTTCCCAAGTCCAACGTCTTCCCCAAAGAGGGAGTCCAAAACCCCAAAGCGTTCTTTGCCAATCCCAGCAATCGATACTCCAAAACGAAAAAGTATTTTTGGGAATACAACCCCTCTCTGGTTGTCCTGAAGGGTCACAAGCATTTGATCCCCCCAGGAATAATGCACAACAATAAACAGCAATCAGCCTTTCTTTCGACGCATCGAGAGTCCATCATTCCAACTACCTTTCTTCACTACGGAAAGATCCGCCAAAAGGACCTGGGAGACTTGCCCAACAACTGGCAACGGTTTGAACGGATCAACTTTTCCTTTCTGAGTCACGACATGACGGTCCTTCAGGAAGGAATCTTTAACGTTGGTTATGCAGACTATCGTCTCTTTATTCTAAATGAACAGCTCTACTTGGGCATGTGGAATCGCATCTATCCCATTTGGATCATGCCTGCCAAAAAGAACAATAATCGTACGGCCAACAACGATACAAAGGAAACATTCACCCACGGGCATCGCGTCAAGATTCTGAGGGATCTTTATCGACCCAACACGTGTCCCTTTGAACTTCATATAGCCGAGCAACATCTCTGCTGTGCCAATGGGTGCACGGGAAAAAACTACAACTACTTTACAACTCGAGATGGTACAATGTGGGTGCAAACTCGGCCTGCAGGACCGCTTGAAGTCCAAAAGGTGGTGCCCTGTGACGCTCGTTATTGGGAAGAATGGTGGACCCAAGCACCCACCACCAATGAAACCACAATCTACACCGACATTTCCGTCCCTGCCATGAGCTTTGGAACCGCGGACGAAACCTACTTGGCGACCTTGGGAGTTTTTGCCAACCACAAGCTATCCTCGCATCGTGGAACGGCATGCTGTATTCGTATGCAGTACCATGAACATCAAGACTTGTTGATTGGAATTAGCCATCGTCGCGATCGAGGCAATCCAGAATGGAAATCACGCAACACGCAATACACGTCCAACTTTTACGCGACTCTGGCCGAACCACCCTTTTCTTTGGTGCGCATGTCGGGGAGCTTTTGCTTGGGTCATCCCAACCAAGAGGACGAAGCGGTGAATCATTTGGTTCCGTTGACACGGTTACATAACTACACGTTCGGCGGTATCCACTACTACAAGTGCCCCATGATATCCTTTCTGCATAGCATGGTAGAGAATCCATCCAACAATGACACGGTCATCATTGGATACGGTGTCAACGATTTGATAAATCGGTTTGTGGAAGTCAGCAAGGCCAACATTTTGCAAATGCTGTTTGAACCCTATGGATAAAGTGGATAGAATGGGATGAGAGCTAACTGTATAGAACTGGACGACAACATGCCGACCTTTCTTTCCCATCAATTCACTCTACCTCGTCTTCAGCTGCCAGGTTTGACATCGCCGATCTCTGCTAAGCTGCGTGGCGAATTCTCTTGGAGGTCTTGAAATGGGAACGTACGCAAGAATTGGTGCCCTGAAGCCCAATAGATAGTTGCATGACGCATCATAACATAGAAAACTTCCCTGGTACAGCTAGCTTCTTGAAAGGGCTGGTCTATGGCTACAGACCAAACGTTGCCTTGGAGCAATTGACTAACAGAAGCTTCCAACAATTCAGCACGGGGATGACAACGGCCAGGGCTAGCAGTATCGTGCATGCACTCGTCGATTGGTAGAAGTGATTTGACTTTCGATCTACATACCACTCGCAAGCCCCTCTATTCCGAGACGATCAGTTCGCAACCAGATATATCTTGGCCAAGCCAAAAGAAAGATGTCTCGAGATTGTAAAGAAGCCAGTCTCAAATATTCCACGGGCACCTTACAATATCAGAAGCGTCAATCAGGTCTGTGTTGACGCCGGTCCCCTTTGACCAGGCCGTTTGGCTTTGGCATGGACAGTGGTCTTACTTTCAAACTGCAATCCCTGCATTGGTTGACTCCATCACTGGACACATCACAGCAGTTGGCCCTAGCACTGCAGTCTCTACAAGGGCCAGCCCCAGCACCGGACACCACAAGTGCCGGTTGGCGCCATCATTGGGGTTCCTACTGTACAACAGTTGATCGCAGCACTGCAATGCCTACAAGGGCTACCATAGCCCCGGACCTGAAGTTTGCACAACACGAAGGCTAAACTTTGGCCTCGTTGTCTTGATCCATCAGTACCGGTAGACTCGGCATTACAACGCCGTTGCCGTATTTGTAGGAGTCTTGCAATCTCTGCTGGGCTCGGTACGTTAACGTGCTTCAAAAGCGATGTGTTTTCATCGCGTTCGCAGCCAGGTCGCTTGGTGGACGCTAAACAGGAAGAGTAAAGGACTGAGCTGGGGGGGGGTTCAACAAGTCGAAAGCAGAGGGGCCTCACGAAGCCCTGAACCATACCGACGAACCCGAGAGCCATAATCGTGTAAGTGCCTTCAATCTTTAATATCGACAACCATCGAGATTCAACTCAAGAGACTCCTCGCGAGAGAAATACTTTAGGCAAGTGAGCTCCTTCCCATTCAAGTGGATACAGGTTTTCAGGGCATGACCGTCTCCCTTTCTGCCCTTTCTCTTTCTTCCTGTTAAAGACAGCACAAGCTCGTTCGAACCTGGTCGCCATCTTTTGTGTGCTCAGACATTGCCAGAGTTTCCTTTTCAGACTCACCATCCCTGTCCTTCGCATCTTCCACCAAAGAATCCAGAGTTTCGTCTTGTTCTTCTTCATCGGTGGCCAAGTCCTTACTGTTGTCCTCCTCGCGCTCTTCTTCCTTGCTAGAATCCTTTGAAGATTCTGTGGAGCTGACAGGATTGTCTTTGGATGCTCCACTGGATTCTGGAGCTCCAACTGTGGCTGAGCGAGGTGGCAGAAGATGTAGCACCAGAGGTGGATGACACTGGGGTGGCATATCCATTTTTGGAGGTTGAATCGGCACTAACAGGGGAGACAGGAATCGGCGGAGCAGTCACGGGCGCTGCAGTGGATATGGTGGCAGTGACTGGGCAATCACAAAGACATTTGACATTACCGCAATCTGGGCAGATGTTGCTTGGATCGTCCCCTTTGTCGTTGCCAGGAGATACAGCTGGGGCGCCGTTTAGCCTCCCAATGGAATCAGCAGCTACTAGGGCCCTCCCACTTTCACTCATATTGGCATCCACCTCCACCACTGTGTCTGGTGCTGTTTCCTCACCCATCAAAAACACATGAATATATTTCAATCTCCAGTGCTTGTGCTTGGACCTACCATTCTAGGCTCCTGTGGAAGGGCAGACGAAAGGAAAAAGTGTTTAGAAGACTGGACTGAAGAAGAAGAAAAAAGAAGGAAACAATGCCTTTTATTACTGCCAGTGCCAGACCATTTCTTTCGGCCGGGGTCTCCCTTAGGATTGCCGGATTCCAGCTGGTACCGGTATCACTGCAGCCCCTTCCTGCTGAACACACCAACACTCCCAGTGAAACATTTCAAACTCACCATAGATTCATTCAAACCGAGATGCGAGAGGAGCCAAAACCAGCTGGTGGTTGGCAATCACGAGGTGAACCTCCCGGGACTCGCTAGAACGAGGTAGACGCGACGTAGAATCCCCTTTTAATTTTTAGCTTATTCTTTTGTGTCATCCCATGTCTACATCGTACTGCACATCGGCCTCCGTTCGCAGGTTATGAGCCCAACTCGTTCGTCACACTTGCACCCAAGCCGAGACTAGGTTGAGGTTGTTTACCTCACGGAATTGGCTAGCGGAGTGAGTTTGATGCGATTTTGCGTTCGAAAAACCGATTGTTGACCTCTCTCGTCATGGTCGGACGATGAGAGCTGGAACTTGCCGTTTTTCGGCAAATTAAGACAAGAGAATCAGGTCACATCAAGATGATGGTGTTGACCGCAAGACCGCAAGCTAAAGCTTGAGCTGAGCTCCACGTCGAGATCCAAAATGGCTGACAAGCCATTCTTTGGACGACGACGACCAGGTCAGAGACAACCTACGTTGTAGTCTCGCCGTACCAATCCTAGTGAAGTCTACGCGATCCTGGATACATTCAAGGATGATGTGGCACTTCGAGCTGGATCCTGACCTGCAAGTTCGTCATTTCGCTGGGTTGTCGCTCCTCCTTTTTCCGAAGTTGACCTCCAGATCACTTCGAAAATTGCGCCATTCCAAGCCGACCATGACGCGAACTAGCACTCAACAAACCCGAGTAGAACAAGAGACTAGAGACCTCGAAGATGAAGAGCTCTCCATTCCCATCTACTCACCACAACCCTTCCGTCCTTTAGGTCGCCGCGACTCTGGTCTGTGGCCCGACCTTGGACAACAGAACAACTGGATCGACGAAAGCCGACGACGTACGCGGTGTTGACACGAGTTTCCAGCGGTTGATGGAATCAACCGCCGGCCTCGACCTTGGTTCAGCGTGCGCGAGGTGCCCTGACAACCCCCGTCTTGGCAGATTGACCCCTCGCCGTCTGACTTTCTCGCCAAGAAGATTCCGACGCAGCTCTCGTCGCAGTGTGGAGGTGGTAGTAGCGGCTCTGCCGGTGCGACCACGACTCTACTTCTCGCAAGAAATCAAGTCGAAATCAAAACCAAAGCCTGACTCTGAGCCGGATCCTCCCGATGACGACGATAACGGCACTCCACTGATCCAGAGAATCAACTTGGAAAGCCAGGACCCGGTGGTCCCGGGTCCAGGGTGGTCCAGGTGGTCCAGGTGGAGGTGGTAATGATGACGACAACGATGATGACGGACGAACAATCAAAAAGATAAAAAAAGAGAAAGAAGAGGAAGTACAAGACCCTAATGGTGAAGTCCTCCACACCTCCAGGTGGATGCCGTACCCTCACCGTTGTACTGCAAGTCCAAGTGGACCTCATCAAGCTCGCCTATGGGATAAGGAGAGCGCATACTCTCCGTGATGATGTTAGCAGACCTTTGTTAGAGCTCCACAGCTCCTATTCTGGTAAAGCATGTCAAACTGGCCAAACAGTCCTCCAGACTGATGTCCATGGCATACTTGAGCAGCTGCTAGTAA